GCGCCGCTCCCCGCGCCCGCGCCGCTCGACGAGGCGCCGGCAGATGCTGCTGCAGCTGCGGCTGCGGCTGCGGCTGCTGCGGCGGCTGCAACTGCGACGGCGGCGGCTGCTGCGCCCCGGCCGCCGCCCGCCCCTCGCGCCGCGGCCCCGCCCCGCCGCACCCCCCGCCCCTCGCCGAGCTGGAGCAGCCGCGCGCGCGGCGGCGGCGGCGGCGGCCTGCAGCTGCAGCAGCAGGCGGGCGCGAGGGGCAGCGCCGGCCTGCAGCTGTGGGCGCAGCTGGCCCCGCTGGCCCTGGGGGCGGGCGCCGGCGGCGAGGGCTCCCCTCTGGTGGCTGCCGCCACCGGCGGCTACCCGTGGCCGCAGCTGCAGGCGCCGGCAGGTGGGCGCGGCGCTGGCAACGCGCCGGCGCTGGCCGCCGCCCCAGGCGCCGCCGTCGAGTGCAGCTGCTCGCCGCGCAAGCACCAGGGCTGGTTCAGCTGGCTTCGCTGGCCGTGGCATGAGGGCGGCGCCGAGCACGCGCACCACGCCCACCACAGCCACCACCACCACCAGCAGCAGCAGCAGCAGCACCAGCACCAGCAGCACCAGCAGGAGGCCGCCGCCGCCGGCCCCTGCTCCTGCGCCGGCGCCTGCAGCGACCACGACTGCTGCTGCGGCCTGGGGGCGGGGCACGACCAGCCTGCCACGCCCGCCGTGTGGGCGCGCGACGGCGGCGGCGGCGGCGCGGCCGACGGCGACGCTTGGGAGCTCGGCTGGCGGCGGGCTGCCGCCGCGCCTGCGCGGCACGCGGCCGATGGGCCCCACCTCTGCGGCCCAGGCAGCATGCAGGTCGTGACCCCGTCCCGCGCGGGCGCTGCTGTGACGGCGGCAGCGGCGGCGGCCGCCGCGGGCTCGCCGCCCTGGTGGGCCGTGGCGGCGGCGGCGGCGGCGGGCCCCGCGGTGGCCGCCCGGCAGCCGCAGCTTGCGCAGCGGCTGGCCCCGCTGGCCCTGGACGTGCTGCCGGGGGCTGGCGGCGAGGAGCTGCCGCCCATGCCGCCTCACCCACACCTGCGCCAGGTGGTGGTGGATGAGGCGCTGCTGGCGTCGGTGCTGGGGCCGCGCCGCTTTGAGGGGCACAGCAGCGCAGGTGGGGGGCTGGCCTGCCTGTGGCGAGGCCGGCCAGCCGCTGCTGCGCGCTGCCTGCCCTGCCCTGCGCCGCGACTGCGACAGAGCTGCCTGCCTGCCTTCTGTGCTGTAGCCTGCCTGCCCTGCCTGATCGTTGCTGCGCCTGCGGCCCCTGGGCTGCCCATGCCTCATGCTCCGCTGGAAACACATCAACCCCCCCTCTGTCGCGCACACACACCCCTGGACCCACCCCGCCCCGCCCCTGCCCTGCCCTCCTGCCCTCCCACCCGCCGCAGAGCGCGTGGCCGCCCCCGGCACCGCCGCGGGCCTGGTGTGGACTGCTGTGGGGGGCAAGGTGCAATACATCGAGTGCATCTGCGTGGGGGCGGCGCCCGCGGCCGGCGGCGTGTCCAGCCGTGCGGGAGGCCAGCTGACGCTGACGGGTGAGGCTGGGTGGGGGAAGATGGTGGCGGGGCTGGGGCGCATGCGTGCACGTTTGGGTCCAAACGGGGAGGGCACGCAGGGCAAGGCGGCAGCAGGTGCGAGCGTGTGCACGGCCCGCCGCCCCGGCCTCCGCCCCCACAGGCCCCACAGGCCCTGCCGCCCGCTCAGCGCCTGCCGCGCCGCCGCGCCTGCAGGCCAGCTGGGCGAGGTGCTGGAGGAAAGCGCGCGCATCGCGCTGTCCTGGGTGCGCGCCCACGCCCCTGCACTGGGCCTCCCTGGCGACGCCTCCTGCCCCTCCCGCAAGTGGGATGTCCACATCCACCTGCCCGCAGGTAGCCCCCCGCCCCCGCCCCCCACACACCCTGCTTGCACCTTGCGTGCGGCCTGCCTGCTCCGTGTATTCGCGTGTGCTTGTGCTGTGGCTTGCGTGTGTGTGCGTGGCGCACGGGCGTCGGGCGTGCAGGCCCACCGGCCAGGGCTGCCGGCACCGCAGCGCAGCGGCGCTCTGCTTGGCGGGGGTGTCCGTCCCGCTGCCGTGCTGCCGCGGGTGGCGCATCTGGGGTGCCTGGTGCACCTGAGCCTGTGCTCCGCTGAGCCCGCCTCCGCCTGCCCCTGGCCGCCGCCGGCGCAGGCGCCGTGCCCAAGGACGGCCCCTCTGCCGGCATCACGCTGGCTGTGGCTCTGGTGTCGTTGTTCACCGAGCGATGCGTGCGGGCGGACGTGGCCATGACGGGTGCGCGGGGCGGGGAGCGGGCGGGACGGGAGCAGCCGCGCGCGCCGCGCTGGTGGCGATTGCACAGGGGCGGCGCTGCCCGGTTCCGGTGCATGCCGGCTGTGTATCAGCCCCTCGAGGGACAAGCATGTCCCCATGCCTGCGTGCTCCCGCTGCGTGCGGCCTTCAGCGCTGTTGCCAGCTGCCCGCCCGCCCGCCGCGCCTGCCCGCCCGCTCCTCGCCGCCTGCGTTGGTGCAGGGGAGCTGACGCTGCGGGGGCTGGTGCTGCCTGTGGGCGGCGTCAAGGAGAAACTGCTGGCGGCGCAGGCGGCGAGCATGGCGTGCGTGCTGGTGCCCGCCCGCAACATGCCAGACGTGCAGGCGAGCGCGGTTGGGGGGGGGGGGGCTGGTGGCGGGGCCGCAGGGGCGGCGCGGGGCAGCATCGCTGCGCTGGCGTGCCTGCTGCTGCTCCCTCCCGCGGCCGCTGCTTTGGTGGCTGCGCATGGGTGTGCTGCACTGGCGTGTGCCCCAATCAGAGCATGGAATACTGCAATGCACACCCGCTCGCCTGCCCCACCTCACCCCCTCGCCCACCCCGGCACCCTGGCTGCAGGCGGATGTGCCGGCTGAGGTCCGCGAGAGCCTGGAGGTCGTGCCCTGCCAGCGGCTGGAGGATGTGCTGCAGGCAGCCTTCGACCCACCCCTGACCCTGAAGCAGCAGCTCCTGCTGGCGCGTCTCTAGGCGAGGCCGCCGCAGCAGCAGCGAGCCCCGCCGCACCCCCATTCATGTTTTATGTCCAACCACCACCCCCCATTCTGAACAAGCCCGCCAGTGCAAGCATGGCGCACCGGCGACCAAGCCTTTTCTTGTACCACAAGCCATCGCCATTTCCTGTACCTCAGCAGTTTTCACCGCCGTCGGGGGGGGCGCCCCGCCCCCGAGGCGCCTCCCTTGCGCGGGTTTTGTTTCATTCGGGGCAACGGCCCTCTTGCACCGGTGCAAGAGGGTACCCTCCCTCCTGCACACATAAACTCACCCCCTGATCTCGTTTCGTGTCTGAAAGCGTTATGCTTTTCAGCCTTGTAGCCGCTGATTGCCCTCCCTGCCAGCGCAGAGCGCTGTGACCACAGCAGCTCGCGGGGCGGCGGTCGTGCTGGCGTGGTGCCTACCTATATCGTTAGAGCATTAGAGCCTTTCCTGATTCTCTGCATCAACTCCCCCTGTAGCTCTTGTAATTTCACTCGTGCTCCATGAGTGGAGGCCAGGGCCAAAGCTTGAGGGCGGTGAACAGCTGGCGGCGCCACTCAGCGCCATTGTTGGGGCTTATAATAGAGATTTGATCATGCGCCCCCGTGGGGCAGCTCAGAACCCCTGCCTCTCTCTTTCTGCACACAGCAGCAGCCATGTCCAAGCGCACTCAAAAGCAGGCGAAGGCAAGTTGCACCGGTTGTCGAGTTTTGCCTGCGGTGTGCGATATGAACTTTCGGGGTGACAAGTGAAGATCGTTGATCTACGTGTGCGGCACGCTCGTACACTTCTCCCGGCCCTAGCTGCCGCCGCCACCGCTGCCAGCTGCCCTGGTCCCAAGGCGCGACCCTGCGCTTGCGGCCACAACCGTCCACCTGCAGCTAGATAACACGCCCGTGAAGATCAACGTGGGTGGACAGTTGTTTTGGACCACGCGCACGACCCTCACGTCCAATATAATTCTTTATTTTTAGGTGAGCCGGCTGTTTGCGGATAGGAAGGGCGTTGCCGTTCAGGGCACGCACATGCGGGATGCTGAGGGCAATGTCTTCATTGACAGGTGAGGAGGCTAATGGCGTCTGGAGTGGCTGCATGGGGTTTCTATGCTTGATGGGCCACCAACCAACTTTTGGCCACCGGCCTTACGCCATCCAGGGATCCGCGATGGTTCCAAACGGTGCTCAACTTCCTGCGCGATTCGTGGGTTCCGCTGCCGCCCACCATACACGAGCGGCAGCAGCTGTATCAGGAGGCGCAGTTCTACATGCTGGAGGTGAGCAGCCTGAGAGGACCTTTGCTAGCATATACCCTTGTCTACCCTGCCGGCAACCGGCGCACCAAGTGGGTGTCGCTGATGCCGATTGTCCTTGGTTACAGGGCCTGGCAATGCTGGTAGAGGAGGTGGAAACTGGTCATGCCGGCCAGCAGTTGGAGTGGGGCCGTTTCCAGCTGGTTGCTACAGAGACAAGGCTAGGTGAGCCTTTGACATGGTTCCCTCTCCTCTGGTCCATCCGGCGCCTCCAGTTGTTGCCGAGCTAAGTGGCTTGCTCACCGTGCTTTGCAGCAAGCAACATGGCAACAATCCTCAGCAAAATTGATAAAGTAGTTGCTGCTGTTGCTGGGACGGCAAAAGAAATATCCAGGCTGCCAGAGTTTCCGGACTTTGAGCAGCTGCAACAGGAGGTGGGCGGGATTGCGCGCCGGCTGACCAACCTAAATAACATGGTGGCAGCGGCATATGAATTGGGGGACGACGTACGTGGGGAGGATGATGATTGAGAGGGCAAGCACGGAAGCTGGACCTGGTGCTGTCTTTATTGTGCCTGCTGGACCTGGTGTTTTTATTGTGCCATGAATGATATGCTCCCTCACTGCCCCGGCCTGAAAGCGCTGCCAACTGTGGACGCACAGGCAGGCCCCACATTATGGGGGCAATTGCCAGCCGCGTGTGGCCGCCGCGTGTTACCACGCCCTCGGCTGCCACAGCGGTGGTGCTTGATGCTGCAAAATGTGGGGAGGCCGGCCGGGTGTGTGTTGACGCCGCTTAATATGCGGTACTGCTGCGGTACGACGTCCAAATTTTGAAACAGCGTTTTAACCCATGGCAGCCACCACAATAGCTGGAAATTCACAGTCAGCACCACGCTTGGGGCTGTAGCTCAGTGGTATGAGCGACCGCTTCGCATGCGGTAGGTCCCGAGTTCGATCCTTGGCAGCTCCACTTTTGTTTTTAGATCAGGCGAAAAGGGGATACACTTCAGCCTTCTGTCCCCTTGAATCCATCTGAAAATGCAAAAATGATGGAGGGGCAGGCATCCGTGATACGCCATGCGGCAGAGCCAGCCGTCCACAATGGCGACGAAGGGCAAGCGTGGTCCGACACGGTGGGGCGGCGAGCTCAGTTTGCTTCTGTTGGCCGCCGTGCGTGGCCCAAATGCAGCTCTTGCATCCTTGCCGCAGGGACCACCACCTCTAAATCTAAATCGACATGCCTCCCCCGGCTCCTGCCCCGTGCCTGCCAGCACATACCGCTCTTCATGGAAACAACCGATTTTTGGGGTTTAGAGTAACCCTAAACTGGTGCCCCCTGCGCTCTTTGAACACTGCTAAAAGGTAAAAGGTAAAGGTAAAGGTGGGGAAGAGCCTCCACAGGCTTAACTTCCCGGTTTTAACGTCTAGCTTTAGACCATTATTTGATCTGCCTGACGCGCCAAGTGCAGTACCCCCCACTAGTAGTGAATGGGTCCCTGGGAGGCCTGTGCCGAAGCCTTGGCGATTCTATTAGGCGTTCCCGAAGGAATTGGCTTGGATTGGCGCTGAGCCGGTCAGCTATGCCGCGTTTGTCCTCACAAAGTTTCGACATGGGAGGAATCGAACCTGTGCCCTCTCGGAGGGTTTAGACACTAGCTCCAGCGCCTTCAAAGAAGGCCTTTCTTTGCCTGCTGAAATCCACACACGTTTTTCACAAATCATGCGACACCCAGACAGGGGACAAGTGTATAGCAGCATCGTCAGCCGTCCAGAGTAGAGGTGTGGGCCTTGACCGCCTCGATCTCCGCCGCGTACTTGCGGCGCAGGCGGTGTCGAGTGAGAGGGTAGCAGTTGGGCTGGTGACAGATGCGGTTGTTTCCATGAAGAGCGGTATGTGCTGGCAGGCACGGGGCAGGAGCCGGGGGAGGCATGTCGATTTAGATTTAGAGGTGGTGGTCCCTGCGGCAAGGATGCAAGAGCTGCATTTGGGCCACGCACGGCGGCCAACAGAAGCAAACTGAGCTCGCCGCCCCACCGTGTCGGACCACGCTTGCCCTTCGTCGCCATTGTGGACGGCTGGCTCTGCCGCATGGCGTATCACGGATGCCTGCCCCTCCATCATTTTTGCATTTTCAGATGGATTCAAGGGGACAGAAGGCTGAAGTGTATCCCCTTTTCGCCTGATCTAAAAACAAAAGTGGAGCTGCCAAGGATCGAACTCGGGACCTACCGCATGCGAAGCGGTCGCTCATACCACTGAGCTACAGCCCCAAGCGTGGTGCTGACTGTGAATTTCCAGCTATTGTGGTGGCTGCCATGGGTTAAAACGCTGTTTCAAAATTTGGACGTCGTACCGCAGCAGTACCGCATATTAAGCGGCGTCAACACACACCCGGCCGGCCTCCCCACATTTTGCAGCATCAAGCACCACCGCCGTAGCAGCCGAGGGCGTGGTGGTGCGCGGCGGTGGCACGCGGCGCCGCCCCGCCAACGCCGCGTTTCACGGCCACAGGCTGGTTCAAATGAAACGAGCCGCTTGATCGCGGTGTCTGCCTCTGAGTCTGCAGGGGATAGCGTCGAGCATTGGGGCCATGAAGTGCCCCTCCCTGAGCACATTGGGTGGCACTCTTGTTCCGCGGGCATAGCCCGGGCTGTGTTTGCCACCAGCCCCCCGCCTGTGCACCTACCGCCAACAGGCGGACCGGCGGCCACGGTCGGCTGCTCCTCTCCTTCAGGAGTTCACTCAATGTAAGCGTCCAGGGACAGGTACCGGCAAAAACTTGAATACTTGCAGTACAAGGTTGCGGTACGGGGGCATCGCACCTCTGGCCGCTCTCCTTCGGCACGTCTATCGGCCACTCTCAGCTCCCGCCCACCCTGCCACCCCCTTGTGCGTGTCAGTCAGCCAACCCCAGCCACCATGTCCCTGCTCCAAGGCAAGACCGCGCTGCTGACGGGCGCGAGCCGCGGCATCGGCGCTGCCATCGCCTGCGCGCTGGCCAAGGAGGGCGCCAGCCTGACGCTGGTGGCCCACCCCCACCACGAGCAGGACCTGAAGCAGGTGGGTGGGAGCGGGGCCCCAAACCCAAGGCTGGAGGGGCCTTGGACAGCCCCAGCCAGCCTTGGACGCCCCACGGCTTGAGGGTGGGAGGGTCAGAGCGCCCTGGTGGAGGGTGCGGCACGATGCGGCTGCGCCGCCACCAGCCGAGCCGCCGCCTGCGAGAGGTACCCACACGCCTCCGCGTTCCCGCTGGCTTCACAAGCTCTCCAGGCTGCCATTCCCCACACCCGCCACGCCCTGCTGCCACCCCCTGCCCCGCAGTGCGCCGACAAGGCCAAGAGCTGCGGCGCCAAGGAGTGCGAGACGCAGTGCGTGGACTTTGCTGACACAGCGGTGAGCCACGGAGGCGGCAGGGAAGCAGCTCTGGCGTGCGGGATGAGGGGAGGGTGCCTCCAGCGGTGTGACACATGCTGGGGCCGCAGCAAATCGATGCACACCCACCACCGAGCTGCCGCCGAGCTCAACTGCCGCTGCCCGCCTGCCGCGCCCCTCCCCCCACCCTCGACCTCTGCAGGCCGTGCAGAAGCTGGCGGAGCAGTGCGCCAGCAAGGGGTTCGATGTGAGCAGAGGACGAGCCTCGGCCAGAGCCTGCCTGCTCTGCCACCGCCTCCCCCGCCTGCTCCCGCCGCCCCTGCCATCCACCCCGCTTGCTGCCTGGCTTGCCGCCTGCCCGCAGGTTCTGATCAACAATGCCGGCATCTTTGGGTCGCACCAGGCCGAGGAGCTGGGCCCGCTCAAGGGTGAGAGGGCGGCCTGCAGGGCTGCAGGGGCTCTGTCCAACGGATGGGCAGTCTGGCAGCAGGCGTTGTGGGTGCAGGGCAGCAAGCATTAGACGTGTGCAGGCAGCCTCAGTGCCACGCATCTCCCTGAGGTGCCGCCCCCGCACCGCCCTGCCACCCCAAGCGTGCCTGCTCCTGGCTGCCTGCTGGCCGCTGCAGGCAACCCGGATGACTGGGACCGCGTGATGAAGGTGAGCGCCCCGGCCAGCCCTCCCCGGCAGCCCCGCATGCAACTCGCCCGCTCACCAACCTTGCTCCGCTTGTGCCTGGCAGCCTCTGCCAGCAGCGCCGCCATGCCGACATGCATGCCTGGTCCAGCGCTGCCATGCCCCTGCCATCGACGACGCCAGCGCTTCACCTGCCTGCCAAGCGTGCGCCTGGGGTTGCAGGTCAACGCGCTGGCGCCCATGAGGCTCATCAGGTGGGGCGTGGGAGCAGCCGCGCTTGCTGTTACCCCTACCACAGCTAAGCTTTCATGCACGCCTGCGTTCACCTGCCTGTTCGCTCCCGCAGGGCTCTGGCCCCCAAGATGGCTGAGAAGGGGTCGGGCTGGATCATCAACGTGGGCGATGTGGAGGCCATCCACGAGGGGCCCCACCACGCCGCCTATGCCGCTTCCAAGGTGGGCAGGCAGCAGAGGGTTGGCAGCTGACAGCACCCAGCGGTACTCGCCTTCACCTGGTATTCCTGACAGCCACAGAGCCGGCATGCTGGCGTATGTCTGATGCAGAGAGCAGGGGCTGGCTATATGCGTCCGAGGCTGAGCGGGATCCTTTGCAGCCAGCTGCTGAGCTGCCAGCCTGCCCCACTCTCAACCTTTGCCGTGGCTCTGCCTCCCATCGCTGGCCCCCCGCAGTATGCCCTGCGCGGCTTTGGACTGTCTGCCTACGAGTCGCTGAGGCAGCACAACGTCAAGGTGTGTTTGTGAGGAGGCCTGTGTCTGGCAGCGTGCACCCAGCCGGCCCCTGATGCCCTGCCAGCAGGCATCGGCACGTTGAGATTCAGCGAGATTCCATGCTGGCAGCGGCCTGCATGCACATCTGCTCACTTGTGCTGCCATCTGCCTGCCTCTGTCACAGAGGTTAGCTCCCCGTCCATGTGTGCAATCCTCTGTACTGCATCATCTGCCCATGCGGGGTACATGCGCTGGCGGCCATCCTTGCGTGCACCTGCTGTGCCGCGCAGGTGGTGGACATCGCCCCCGGCAACGTCAAGGACACCGGCATGGCGAAGAAGAGCGACATGCACGGTGGGGGGGCGGGGTGATGGAGGCGCCCCTGGCGGCCGTTGCTTGCTGGCGGCCTGCTGGCATCCCCAGCACACTGCTGCTGCCAACTCGGTGGCTCACTGTGGTGGATGGTGGATGTATTGCTTGCGCGCGCGAGGCGAGCCCTGCTTAGTGGGGGCTGGCCCCTCTTGGTCGTTGCCGCCATGCGTGCGCAGGCGGGCAGGGCGCCATCGCCCCCGAGGACGTCGCCGAGGCGGTGCTCTTCTGCTTCCGCTGCTCCGCCAACTGCGTGCCCGAGGAGATTGTGCTCAAGGCGCTGAAGCCGGGGAAGGCCTCCTGAGCCTGCGCCGCCGTGCCAAGCAGGCAGGCGCCTGCACCACGTGCCAAGAAGCAGCCGTAGGTGGCGCTCAGCAGAGGCCTGGCTGTTGTGGGACTCCACCCTGCGTGCATGTTGCCAGTCTAATGTATAGAATCGCGTGTGTGAGAATCTGCGACCCGAGCCAAGCATCACAGCGGCTGAGTGGGCGAGTCGTGCGTCTGGTGCGGGGGCCGCCCCTGTGACATGCCTGCTGCGCCAGCTATCGCCACAAACAGCAACGCTTTCGATGGCGCCTTCCTTCCAGCCGCTTGCGGGTGCCTGCTTCCGCTCAATTGGGGCCCCGCAGCAGCCGGCATGGCGAGGTGGGTGATAGCGGACGATCGGGAGGAGGATGCCGAGAGCACCTCGGAGGAAGAGGAGGAGTCGGAGGCCGAGGAGGAGGAGGCTGAGGGCAGCGAGGAAGCTGAGGCCGTGGCTGAGGCCGAGGAGGAGCCCGCCGCCGCCGGGCCCAGCAGCGCCGCGGCGGCACCCTCTCCGGGCGGCACGATTAAGCAGCGCAAGCTCAGCATCAAGCTGGGCGGGCCCGACGTGTGCCACGTGAGTGCGCAGCACTACCCATGGCCCTGGGAAACCCACCTCTTCCCATCCTGCGCCAGCGCCGCTGTCCAAGGTGTGTGACGTGCGGCGGCGCCTCCCTTGCACGGCCTGCTCGCCTGCAGGTGTGCGGCAAGCGGGGCCACAGCGCCGGGTTTGTGGGCGCCAAGTACGTGGACTGCCCCAACAAGCCCTGCTACCTGTGCGGCAAGCAGGGGCACAGCACGATGACCTGCCCCTTCAGGCAAGCGCTGCTTCCTGGGATGCAGGCTGGGGCGGGGCAAGCGTGCGTGCATGCTCTGCCCCTGCCCTCGCCCCTGCCCAGCTCCCACCTCCCCGCGCTGCCCTGGTCTGCACGCTGCTGGCCCTGCCGCGCAGGATCGCGCCCGGCCACGGCTGCACCGTGGCCGCCGGCGTCGGCGGCGGCAGCGTGCTGGGCGCGCTGCGCAAGCGCGAGCAGGGCGGGCGGCCGCCGCCGCCGCAGGCGCCGCCGGCGCGGCGCTGGCAGGTGGATGCCGCGGTGCTCAAGCTGCACTCCAGGCGCACAACATGCCTGGAGTTCCACCCCACGCTGGTGAGAGGGTGCTGCAGAGCCGCCTGCCTGCCTGCCTTCCTGCCCGGCAGGCCCCGCCCCGCCCCCTGGTCGCCCACCTGGTTGCCCCCAGCCCTGGCCACGCCGTCAGCCGTCCCCACCAACTCACACCACCGGTACCGCTCATCCACCCATCCACCTGCAGGACCACCTGGTACTGTCGGGAGACAAGCGCGGGCAGATCGCGGTGTGGGACCATCACAAGGTGAGCCCTGCGGTGTGGGGCCACCAGCAGGCAGGCAGGCCCCCCACTGTGGAGCCTGCCAGGCGTGTGCAGGGGCGCCCCCACGCCGCTGGTACAGGGGAGGGGCACGCGCGACCGCCGCTGCCCCGCCTCCCCGCCTCCTCCCATCCACACACGCCATGCACCACCACCCACCTGTGTGCCCCTCCCCTCCCCTCCCCTCACCCCACCACCTTAATTAAGGTGTATGAGCGCACCCTGTACTCCTCCATTAACCGCTGGCTCACCAACCAGCTGCGCTTCATGCCGGGGGGCGACGCCTGCGCCTCCTCCTCCTACGACGGCACAGTCAAGGTGGGTGGCAGCGAGGCTCGGGGGGTGGGGCTGGGGGTGGTGGAGGCGAGGCGGGGGCGCAAGAGTGCCTGAGCGTGTCTGATCTTGGCCAGCTGGAACAAAGTTGGAATTCCTCTAACTCCCCACCCACGCCGCCACCACATCTCACCCAGCCACCCGCCTGCCCACCCACTCGCCCCCGTCCCCGCCCCCGCCCCTGCCCCTGCCCCTGCCCCTGCCACCCCACTGCCTGCCGCCCCCCAGGTGTTTGATGTGGAGACCGGGTGCGCCACCGTGCTGTACGACGCCAACCCTCAGGGGTGGGAGGGGGTGGAGGCGGAGGCGGCGGCCAACACCTGGGTGACCATCATGGGCATGGATGTGGTGCGCTCGGGTGAGTGCGTGGGGGGAAATGGGCAGGGGGAGGGAGGGCGTGGAGGTGGTGCGCTGGGGTGGGTGCGTGGGAGAGGTAGGCAGGCAGGGGAGGGGGGGACAGAAGGGCGAGTGGGGAGGTTGGGAGGCAGGCTGGACGAGGGAGGAGGGAGGGAGAGGAGCGGAGGGGGAGGGTTGGGCGTCAGCTTCGCCACCCTGCCTCACCTGCGTGCCGCCCCCGCCCCTCGCACCGCCCTGGCCTGGGGTGCCCCGCAGCGGGCGCCATCGTGGCGGGAGACAACTTTGGGCGCCTGCATTTCCTGGACCCGCGCCTGCGCAGCCCCGTGGCCAGCATGCAGCTGCACAAGAAGGGCAGCAAGGTGCGGTGTGTGTGTGTGGGCGGGAGCGAGTGTGGTGGCGCGTGGGTGCAAGAGGCGGAGGCGGGGCCGTGAGCTGGCTGCAGCTATAGTGGAGCGCAGCGCGGCGCCTCCAGCCCTCGCTATACTAAGCACGGCGTCGCTGGCTGCCACGGCTGCCCACCTGGCGCCCCATGCCCTGCCCTGCCTGCCCCTCTGGTCTCCCCACACCCCCTCTCCCGCAGGTCCAGTGCGTGCATGCCAACCCCGTGGACAGCAACCTGGTGATGAGCGCGGGCAACGACTACTGGGCGCGCGTGCTGGACATACGCTGCCTCGTGTCGGGTGGGCGGGGCGGCTGGCAGCGGGGCTGGGGGCGGGAGGAGGCTGGGCGGGGTCCAGGTGGCGGGAGGGAGGGAGCAGTGTGGGTGTGCGTCTGTGTGGTGTGTGCGTATGTGTGGTGTGGGGTGTGGGGGGGGATGTTGAAATGCAGTGGAGGCGCGGAGATGGCAGGAGGGGAGCGGGAGCAAGGTGGAGGAGAGGCCTGCTGGGAACCGACCCGGCCCGCCCGAGGCACCCGCCTGCGCCCGCAGGCAACAGCGCGGACGGCAAGGGCAAGGCGGCGGTGGGGGGCGGCGCGGGCGGGTCCCCCGCTGAGCTGGCGTTGCTGCAGCACACCAAGGTCGTCAATGCCGCCTACTTCTCGCCCATCACAGGTGGGGGGCGGCTGTGTGGCTCATTGGGATTGGTTGGGATCGGTTTGGCCGCCGCTGCAGCAACTATATCAGCGGAAGGTTGGCGGCAGGCGCTGTCGCTGTGAAGGCACAAGCAGCTTGTGTGTGCTGCACTGGGTGCCGCTTTGGAGGGCCTGGTCAGTGTGCCTGCTGCCGCGGGTGCCTGTCCCGCTGCCGCTGCAGCTTCCTTGTGTGCGCCCATGCCACGCTTTCTTCCTTTCCTTTCCTTTCCTGCCCCTGCACCTGCCCCTGCACCTGGCTCCTGCTTGCCACAGGCCGCAAGATCCTCACCACCTGCCAGGACAACCGGCTGCGAGTGTGGGACTATTTGTACGCCACGCAGCAGGCACGACCACGCCGCCGCTGGGGGCCACCCCAGCGCCTCCCTTGCCGTCGCCGCTGCGTGCCTGCCACCACCCACCCCCACGCCTCATCTACCCAGCCCCGCCACCCACCTGCCGCCTCCGCTGCCCAAGCAACACAGCCACGAACAACAAGCAACAAGCAACCTACCCCATGCCCGCCGCCGCCCGGCGCCCCCACAACTAATCAACCCACCCCCACCACCCACCTGCCGCCTCCGCCGCCTACCCTGCGCAGCCCGCGGACCGCGAAATAGTCCACAGCCAGAACTTCAACCGATACCTGTCCCCCTTCAAGGCAGAGTGGGACCCAAAGGACCCTGCCGAGCGGCTGGTGGTGGTGGGCAGGTGGGGAGGGAGCAGGGGCGCGCTGCGCGCTGCTTCCGGGCAGCTGGGAGCAGCTGGGAGGCCAGCCGTGCTGGTGCGCCGCACCGGGCGATGTACCGCGAGTGATGTACCGCTGCGCCACGCCACCGGCCGCCGCTGCACAGCACGGCTGCTGCGGCGTGCTCTGTTGGATGACGTCGTGCCGCCGCTGTACCTTACCGGTCTGCAGGTACATCAGCGAGGACTTTGGCGGCCTGGCGCTGCACCCTGTGGACCTGCTGGATGCATCTACGGGTGTGCGGTGGGGTGGGGTGGGTGTGGGTGAAGGGTGTCGTGGGGTAGAGTAGGGTAAAGTGGAGTGGAGTGTTGTGTGGTGTGGCAGGAGGGTGGGACGGCAGGGTGCATGGGTGAAAGGAGGGCACAGCGGGAGAGCGGCAGGGCCCAGCGGGGCAGGAGCTGCTTGCATGCCAGACCCCACCCCACACTCCGCCCCGCCACGCCTCTCCAGCGGCGCCGCCTCATGCCGCCCGCCGCCGCCATGTGCCGCCCCTGCCGCCGCCGCCATGCAGGCGCGCTGGTGGGCGAGCTGACTGACCCCAACCTCACCACCATCTGCCCTGTCAACCTGCCTCACCCACGCCTGGACCTCATCGGTAAGCTGGGAAGAAAGCAAACACAGGCGCAGAGAGGGGCGTGAGCGTGTGCTACTTGAAGTGGCGGTGGCGGCGTGGCGGTGGTGTGTGGATGTGTGTGGTGGGCAGGCATGTGGTTGGCGGTAGGCGGGGGGTGGCCCTTGCTCAGGGCAGGCCAGCATGGCATGCCTGGGGATTGTCAGGGCCTGTGGATGGGGCTGCTGTCTCAGACCTCAGATCCCGACTGTGAGCAGCAGCAGCAGCTGCTGCAGGGAACTGACAGCCTCTCCTCTGGCTGCCACATGGTGGCGTGTGCAGTGAGCGGCAGCAGCAGGAGCCTGTACGCCTGGCGGCCAGCCCCTGAGGAAGAGGAGGATGAGGAGGAGGGAGCCGCCAGCAGGGATGGCAAGCACAGCGGCGGCGGCAGCGGCGGAGGCGGCGGCGGCGGCGGCAGCGGCGGCCGGCCCTTCCATCTCAAGGCAAGGCCGGCTCCCGGCTGGGAGATTTCATGCCTGCCGATGCGCTCGCCAGCCAGCTGCGGCATGCACGCATGCATTCCACGCCTGCCCTGGCACCAATCCCAGATCACACACCCCCATACCTGCTTCCATCTGTCCCATGACCACCCTCCGCAAGCATCACAACCCTGTCTGTTTCTCCAACACCCCCTGCCTGCTCCCTGGCTGCTGCGCATATCACAACTGCAGGGCTCCTCCAACTATGTCTTCTTCGATGCCGACCCAGACGAGAAGAAGAAGGGCAAGCCGCGGGGCAAGGCAGCCACAGCAGCAGCGGCGGCGGCGGCCTCCGCTTCGCCCAGCACGGCCGCAGGCTCGCCGCCGCCTGGCGCCAAGGGCGGCGGCAAGGGCAAGAGCAAGGGCGGCGGCAGCGGCAAGGGCGGCGGCGCGGCGCACTCGGCGGCGCCCGGCGGCAAGGGCAAGGGCGGCAGCAAGGGGGCGTCGGCATCGACATCTGCCATACCAGCTGAGCCTGATGATGATGATGAGGAGGAGGAGGAGGAGGAGGAGGACGCTGCTTTCCAGCCGGGCCCCAGCAACGGCAGGATGCCCAAGCGCGGGGCAGGCAGCAAGGGGCGCAGCATCCCGCGCGCCAAGAAGCCTCGCAAGGGGCCCGGGGACCAGCAGGGCGGCGGCGCCTAGGCCTGCCGGGGCTGCCCGGAGGCCCACACACCCGTACCCCTGTCGCATGCAGTGCCAGCTGGATGCATGCTGTGCCCACATGCCATATTCTTCTGCTGTACTTCTGGCTACCTCCTGCTGCTGCCAGTGTGCTGCATACGCACGCGCCTCCGTCCTGGATACCTTGTTGCTGCCCCTCGGATCCCCTTCTTGCCTGCCTGCTTGCCGGCATGTTGCCTTCCCGGCCTCAAGGCCGGCCCACCTGTCAACAGCTGTTTTCTGGGGCTGCAGCTGTCGGTAGGGGCGGTGGGCCAGTCCCAGAGTAAGCAGGCTGTACCATATGGCAGTTACACTCTCTCGCTTTTGTGGTCAGGCGCAACGTGACAAGGTGGGGCGGGGCTCCGCTGGCGCGCGACAGGTAGGCAGGTAAGTATCATTCGTTGGTGGTGTGCCGCCGCATCACGCCGGCTGGCAGAGGAAGAAGAATACAACATGGTCAGGCAGTGCAAAGAGGAAAGGTGTGGTGGGACGGGCTGGGAGTGTGGTGGGCAGGGGCGGCGGCGTGTGCCGCCTGCCCATGCCCCTAGCAGGCGCCCGGCACAGGGCTGCGCCCTTCGTGCATGGCACCAGCACAGAGAGAGAGAGAGAGCAAAAATGGATGAAACAGGGGAACTCGCACACGCTTGAGCAATGCTAAGGGATGGGCAAGGAGAAATAGCCGAATTCCAGAGGGTAGTGGAAGAGGGGGGTGAAGGGGCGCAGGGTGGAGTCGTGAACTAAAACACTGGCCTGCAACCGAATAAAGGGCTTGAGGGTGCAAAAAACTTGGGACAGCGTAGAGGCGCGGATTGAGACGTAGATAGAGACCAACAAATGAACCTGGGCAGGGCTTGGCTGAGAGTGATCAGGAGGTGGTGGCGCTCGGCCGGGAGTCGCCGCTGCCGCTGGCGGCGCTGGGCGCTGGTGTGGCAGCTGACATTCTTGCGGCCTGTGCAGCAGCAGAGGGGCCGTCTTCGGGGATCCCAGGCGGGAGCGCCGCTGCCAGGGCCGCCCCCGCTCCTCCACCGCTGCCGCTCCCGCTGCTGCCTACTGTGGAGCCGCTTGCTGTGGGGCCGCCGCGGGCCGAAGCCCGCCCGCCATCCTGCTGTTCCTGCTGCTGCTGCTTCTGCTGCTGCTGCTGCTGCCATGGTGACTGCGGCTGCTGCTGCTGCCTGCTCCTGACTGACCTGCCCATCTGCTGCGAGACGGGGGGGCTGCCCGGCGGGCGATGCATGGCCGGCATCTCGCTGGCAGCGGCGGCGGCTGCCGCCTGCTGCGGCGCCAGCTCCGCCGCGAGCATCAAGCTGCACCCCAGGCAGGCGGCGGCACGGCACGGTCAGCTCCCAGCCCAGCCATACATACAAGTCGCGAGGCCGGGCCCTAGGCCCTGCCACCGTGCGCCTGCCGTGTGCACCAGCGCCCATCCAGCCCCGCCTCCACCCCCACCCAAGGCAGCTGCTCCTCACCCCAGCTGCTCCACGATGGCGCCAAACTGGGGGCGGCCCGCGGGCTCGTGGCACCAGCAGGCCTGCATCAGCCGCACATACTGCGGGTAGCAGGTGAAGGCGCCCGCCGCCAGGTCGCCAGACGCAGGCACCGCCAGGCCGGAGCCGCCGGTGCGCTGCACCACGGAGATGATCTGCGGGCGGAGGGCAGGAGGGCAGGGGCAGGGCCACAGGCGGGGGCGCACCAGTCAGGAGCGAGGGCAGGGGCGGCGGCAGGGGCAGGAGCAGGGGTAGGGCAGCGCGGCAGGTGTCTGGCTGCTGGTGTTGTTGTGACCACGACAGGCTTCCTTTCAGGCTGGGGTTTCCTGTTGATCCTCCCTTCAGCCTGGGATCCTGCTGATCCTCCTTTCAGGTTGAGGGCTGCCGCCGCCCACCTGGTAGGTGTTGAGGCCTTCAAAGGGCAGCCGCCAGGTCAGCAGCTCCCAGAGCACCTGCCGGCAGCGGGCCAGGAAAACACAGCGGTCGGCTGCTGGCCGGGAGGGAGGCGGCCGGCGGCCGGCAGCTGCAGGCGAGCGCGGCGCCGCTCCCCGGTGCAAGCCCTGCACGCCCACGCCGCTCGCGCAAGCGGCAGAACCCTCGGCCTCACCGTGCCAAATGCCCACACGTCTGCGGGCAGCTGGCCGGGCATGCCGTCGAGCACCTCTGGCGCCAGCCAGCGAGGGTTGGTCTGCACCACTGTGAACGAGGTGGCCCCCAGCTCCAGGGTGCGGCTCAGGCTGAAGTCGGCCACCTGGCGGGGAGGCGAGGGGGCACGGCGGCGCGGAACGGGGTAGGGTAAGGGAGGAGGAGGTGGCCGCGAACGGGCGGCGACGCGGCCGGCGGGCGCGGCAAGCAACGCCAGCCAGCCAGGCCAAGGCGATGCAGGCAGGCGGCGAGGCAGGCGCCGGGCAGATCCGCAGCCAAGCAAAGAGGAGCAGGCAGGCCCTGAGGCGGGCCACCCAGAGGCAGGTCACACCTTGACGTGCCACTGGCTGTCCACCAGCAGGTTTGCAGACTTGAGGTCGCGGTGGGCGATGGGCGGCGAGCGCGAGTGCAGGTACAGCATGCCCTTGGCCGCATCCAGCGCCAGGCTCAGCAGCCGCACCCAGGTCAGCCGCTTGGCCATCTGCAGGCAGAAGCAGGCAGGCAGGCAGGCAGGCAGGGCAAGGGGTGAGCGGGCAGCGGCGCGCAGCGGAGCAACCTGCCGTGCAGACATCCACTCTGAGCTGCAGCCTGGGCAGGCTCGGCGCCAGCCGTGGCCGTGGTAAGCTGCTGTGCCGCCACCCGTGCAGAGCTTCCCTGCCACTGCCATCGCCCAGTCCCTCTCACGCACCTGCGGGTGCCTGAGGCCCGCCCTGAGCAGCATGTCCAGGCTGGACTTGGCGCAGTACTCAAACACGAGGCTGGGGGGGTCGGTGCAGGCCCCCAGGTACAGGCAGACTGCGACGGAAAGGTATTGGGGAGGGCAGAGAGCAGGCGGGCGTACGTGAGCGAGCGGAGCAACCACCGTGCAAGCGGGCAGCGGCAGGCGGAGGGAACGAGGCGCGCCTGGCGCTGCAGCGCTGCGGGCCCTGCCAGCGTCGCCGCCGCCAGCCCCAGCCGCCCGCCCCCGCCTCACCGTTGGGGTGCCTCAGCTTGGACATGAGGGCGGCCTCCTTCTTGAGGGAGCGCATGAGCAGGTGGTGCTGGATGGAGGAGGTCATGTTGTCTGACCCCACAGGGCCCAGGATCTTGACAGCCACCAGGGCGCCGCAGTAGCGCGCCAGCCACACCTGCGCGTGGCGTGAGGCAGGGAGGCAGGGAGGCAGAGAGGCAGGGAGGCAGGGAGGGAGGGTGGGTGGGTGGCGTGCGTTGAAAGAAACCAAGCGCCGCCCACCCCACCCGCCCCACACCGCGGCAAAGTGAGGGAGCCCGGGCCGGCGGCTGCGGCGGCCTGTGGAGGCCGCACCTCCCCAAAGGACCCCTCCCCCACAATCTCCACAAGC